GAAACTGGCAGCTCATGGCTTGGACAGGCCTTTCGGCAGGACACTGGTGATCAGCGCCCACCAGCCTCATGGATGCCTTTGTGGAGCGTACTGCCAAAGATGTTCTGCTCTGTGTTCCCTTGCCTTGAATATCTGAACATTATTGGCTAAAGGTAACAGAAAACAAAAGCTCGCTCTTGCTAATTTTCTTGCCTCTATTCTCAAAACTGGTCATTAATCAGAAGGGATGTGTGGCTCATCCTAGTAGACATGCCTTGTCATCAAGCTGGTTTGTATTGGCTGATCATGTGGCTGTGTAGACACTGTAGGAGGATTTAGATACCTGGGAACACAGCAGCTGCAGAAAAAGATTTAGGTGTCATTTTGATCATTCTCGGGAACACAGGGAGCAACTTGAGGCTGTAGAAGGTCTGCAACATGTAGCTGATGCATTCCATATATCTGCACAGCAGTACGCAAACAAGCAGAAGGTCAACAGCACACACTGACAAACAATGCCAGTGCTGAGAAGTCACTGGAGTAGGCTGGAACCAACTCTGAACCCTTGTTCAGATGAGTTAGATGACAAAATCCAACTGGGAGAACTGCAGAGATCAACTCCAAACAGTTACAGGGAAGAAAAGGAAGCAACAGGCAATTGCCGTAACAACACTATCTTTGCCTGTAAGTCTTACGTATTTCAAGTATTTCATGCTTCCACAGGAACTGGCATTTCCTTCATTATCCCACTTTACTCTCCTTTTGTTTGTTTAGCCAAATTTCTTAAATAGCTACAAAATTCATTTTTTAGTGTAAGTTTTACCTAATGAATGAGACAAATGGTTTTCTCAGAGCACATTTAACATGTTTTTCCTAGGTTTACACCAACCAACATGTCAAGCTCAAAATTTGACACATTTATTTACTCTTCTGAATTGACAGATTCAAGTTAATCCTTTTATTTTTAAGGGCCATTTATTAAATGCAGTTAACATGACAAATATAGGCTCCCCATATTTGTAAAACTGGCTCATAAGTCCATATCTGTAGCTTAGCTTCATATTCGCCAGGGTATAAACACAATTAGAATAAGGCATACAAAGGGCTTCCAGCAACATCTTGTATCTTGTTGCACCTGAGACATGATCATGCCCATCATCTTATAAGGCATTTTTCCCTATGATCAGAAAAGCAAATTTAAGCTAACAGTAAAGTCTCTGAGAATACTCTGACATCTGAAACAAGAAGAATTTGCTTTGACTACTTCTCTCTTTGTACAGAGCTGAGCAGAACTTTTTAATTTACCGCAGATACAAAATCTGATTTTTATATGAAGTATGTGCAGTCTGGTCCAAAACATTTGTGTGGCATATACAAACTTACATTTAACTTTTATATTTGTTTCAAGAAAAGTAAACTTAATTCCACCTTTCATCAGAAAAATCTGAGACAATCAATGCAGAAGCCATTTCTGCAATTGCTCACTTTGTTCTTTGCTAACCTATATGAACAAACTGTGTCTTGGGCTATTTATATCAGAACAACAATGAGGAATATTTTCTAAGTATTCCAGCACTGCTATTTCAGCTGGATTCATATTAACGGAAAATCCTTCATGGAGTGGAGGAGAAACCCCCTCAGAATGAAAGTTTGGCTCTGATATACTGTAAGCAACTGAACACTTCCATATACACAAAAAATTTAGGCAAACAACAACAGAAATGGAGGAACTGAGGTGTGGAAAACCTGCTAACCATTCCACTCACAGGCAAAAGGGAGAAGAACAGAGATTTAGCAACTTTCTCTAACATGTGGGTCGTATTCTCTATTACATAGTTCCACACTCCCAGCAGCACAGTGGAGAAGAGGAGGAGCCTAATCCCACTATAATGCTACCAAATTCAGACTAGTGCTCATTTTCAAGGAAGCAGTGGTACACTTCCTCAGCTGTAATTCATCCTTCTTCCCACGCTTCAGAGAAAGCAGGTTTTATTAAGTAGCATTTTCAATTATGACAGACATGAATCCAGCAGAAAGGCTTGTACTTGCATTCAGCTTTTAAAAACACAAAACAGTGACTGGTGAGTACAGGTGTTATCCTACAAGAAATCAAGTCACTCAAACTTTCTTCATTGTGAAGAGGGTTGAGACTGGAAAGGTTCACAGAACACTGAGAATGGGAAAAGGATCAAAAGCAATGTTCAAGGCATACACAAACTGAAGAAATAGGTGCTTTGAAATCTATGCTTTTGTTTTCCTCCCTTTACAAGTCTATACTATGATATGGAGATAAAAGCCAGTGTGTGTGTGGGGAAGGTCTTCACCCAGTACTTTTTCTAAATTAAGTTCCATAGTTTTGTTTTAGTTAAAAAAAAAGTAATTTATAATTTAATACCTGTTTCAGGATTCTCAGATCTGTGGTGCTGCTAACATTGCACTTAATTGGCATTATCCTTAAAAAGAAATTAAAAAGCAGCTCTGAACTTTGCTTCTGAGATGGAAGCACTGTCTCTGAACCAACAATGATTCCCGTCAGTCTTGCTTTGCATCTTTCAAGGCCTGAAGTCTTTCTAAAAGGGGCGGATGGGAGTAATGCCACATTGAAAAGATCCAGTCAGAAACAGGGAATCCTAAATTATCTTTGTTTAGCTTAATCAAAGCAGAATATAGGTCTTTAGCCTTCCCAAGTTCCTTGGCAAATGCATCTGCTTGAAACTCAAATCGTCGGCTTAATACAGTCAGACAAAATGAGAGAACCTGTGGAGATAAATATATTAGAAATTATTTTAAAATTCAGCTATCTGCAAGTTCCTTACAGTATCAGTAAATACTACTGTATCTACCTTCCCACACCCCACACATCATTGTGGCTGTAGAATTATCTCAGTAAGGTTTATCCAGGCCACATCTGAAACTGGGAGTCTTACCCAACATGGAGCACTAAGCCTACTTATTAAAATGAGACACCAGATAGAGCCCCTAGAAACTTCAAACCTTCTCCCTCAGCCAAAAAAAAATTATTTAAATAGGATCATACTTCAGCATCTATGTCTTGAAAACAATTTACCTCATTGTAGGGTGAAAAAATGAACTGGAAAATAATCATCAAGCCTATCAGGGTAGGCTGGGTGTCATAGAAACCAAATGCAGCAAAGAGTTCTTTTCGACCAATTAATACAGCAAACAAGAAGAAGCAGAGGAAGGAATTCATCTAGAGAAAGGAAACAACATTCTTGATTAAGATGAGTTTTTCATCTAAGTCTAAAACAGAGTCTCTTCGTATTACAGATTTGCACACAAACGCCACTGAAAAAAAACCCAAACAGATTATTTTAGAGCTAATATACAGAGAGCAACAAACCACAGGCCTTTACCTTCTTTCTGTAAATGCATGCACTAGAGAAACACTTCTTATTTTGTCAGTGAGCTAAAAAAAAAAGTCTAAGTAGTGAAGGAAGATGAGGAGGCAAGAAGAGAAGGTAAGTGAGGAGGGAGTACAGGGTAGAATCCATCTCCTTGAAATTAAACATAGGTTCCAAAAAGTTTAAAACCAAACAGAATGTGTCTGTGCTGTGTCATACTTCTATTCCTAGAAACAATTTATGCTTCCATCTAAACCATGCATCACTGTGTACAAGCACTGTGCTTGCCTGGTTTTTCAGAGGCAAGAGGCAGGACCATGCCTTATCAAGTTTTCTAGAGAAGGTGGTTAGTACCTTTTCAATCTATTCAAGTGGCTGTTTGGTCTTTTTAGAGTAATGTGGAAGATGCCAGAATACTGTTGGTTATTGAAACACATAGGACAGAAAAGAGAGGGAGGGCTGTGACAGCAAACAATCAACAGAAAAAGCAGAAGACACCACAGAAGAATTTGTGAAAATTTCTGGAAGTGAAGATAAAATCTACCTGTTACAGCAAAATAATGGTATCTAGAAAGTGGATCCAAAGTTACATGAGTTGGCAGAGTAGCAAAAGCATCCTAATATTTAGTAGGGATCAACACTGATGTCAGAAGTTGGAAGGTAATTGCCTTAAAGCAGAAAGTGAGAAGAACCTCACTATTCAGTTGCCTGCATAAGAAAAAGCCAGTGTGGAAACAGAAAGATAGAGATTTTCTTGAACAGGAGCTTGATAGTGATGTTTACAGCCTAAAAAGCTTGTGAATAGCCTTAGAAAAATAACAAAACAGCACTTCTGGAATGGTGCACACATCACAAGAAAGACATGATGGAGTTACAGACAGTCCTAGGAGGGTGGCTAAGAGAAACAAACAAACAAACAAACAAACAGGCTGGGAACTTGGAGAAAAGATGGGTGAGTGATACCTGGAACAAGATAGATCTACACCAAATCATATAGTAGACTGCTGATAGTAATTTAACAGAAGGCACATAGCTGTGCCTTGCAAATAAAAGAATTTGAAGTAGGAGGTTTGGGGGAGGAATTCTCTTGTATTGTGGAATGCCCAGAGGCACATGCATGAGTAAACAGACCATCAGGTTCCTTTTCTTCAAAGGCAATGTTGGGCAATCTCTAGAGATTGCTTCAGTGTTCACTCCGATTTGGGCATGCACCAAGAATGGCACAGTGTTATTTACCAATAAGCAATGCACAAGGTATGAGAATACAACATAAATAAGTAAGAATGCCCTCCTGTATCAGATTTCATAATCGTTCTCCTTCTCAGCTCTCCAAGGAAGAAGAGTGACTCAGACACATAGCTTCCTCAGAGATAGTGACAAACACTTTAAAGAAATGCAGGCTGGGAGACAGGATATATCCAATCCTACCCCTAGCACAGGGATGGAAAGAGATCTTCAGAGAAGGCTCTGCAACTCAAACGGACAAGGAAGAAGTGGTATAGAGGAAGAAAAATGTGTCCAAACTTCAGAAGGCTGCTGAGATGAATTGAAATGGCAGCAGACATGCCTTCTTAGATGCTTTCTACCAACCAGATGGAGCAAGGAGGGGACAGAAAGGCATGTTCACTGTGGATACAACAAAGAAAAAAAACCAAACCAACCAACTTTCTGTCACAGAGCATAAGTATATTGTGTGAATGTACACTTATAAATCTGGAAGCAGGCATTTGGAAACAGCAATAATTACAGAACGGTCTAGGAAAACCAACAGTTTATCATAACTTACCTGGCTAATGATAATATTTTTGACAGTGTGACCTAGTTTCCAGTGACCCAATTCATGACCAAGTACAGCCAGAACTTCTTCATTTTTACATCCTTGTTTCTTATTCTGAGGGAGTAATAAAGCAGAAGTAATATCAGGTATGACTGAACACAACTGAATAAATTTCTTACTTATTAGTTTATTTTTCCCTAGGTCACTTAAGTGTCCCTAGATCAGGCTGTTCCCTTCTACCAGCAGACAAACACATATGATTTCTTATTGAGCCTTTTTCAAGAAGATACTTACAAAAAAAAAAAAACCCACACAAAAACAAACCCCCAAAAAACTTTTATGTTCAACAAGATTTCTACCATGAGGTGGTGTTCTCTTTTTTTCTATGTATGCAGATATGCCTATGCAAACCTGGAAGAATGCTGGAAGATTTGCCTTCCAAACTCTCTCCTACCATCCCTTGATCTCATCCTGATTCTTTACTCAAGAAAAGGCATAACAATGGAAGCAGACATTCAGAGCTACAGACTCTCAACAGAGAATTGAGAGCAAAGTCCCCTCCCTACTTCCTTCAACACTCAACATGTAGCCTCTCTCCCATTCCTTTAAAAATGAATGACAGCATCCCTGTCCTCTGCAACAAAGGCTACGACATGCCTTAAAGCTATCATTAGGAAAGATGGACATCTGTACCTTCAATGGTACATTAGCAAGTCAGAAGCAAGCACAGGGGCTTGTGTACTGAGAACATAGCTGAAGCACCTGTTGAAGTGGAACAAATGATTCTCATTATGACTAGAGCAGGTGAGCTCAAAATGCCCTCCTCTCATCACCCACTTCTGCAGTATGCCATACCAAACTGTGGATGAGAAGAATTCCACCACCAACAGTTACACGAAATAGAAGCTGGACTAAACAACAATCTATACTTTAGCCTAACCTTAGGCTGCACGAGGCAATTCATCTCAGAATTACTCCTTCAGGCTCTTCAAAAAGTATTCCATCAGTTTTAACCATCCCTACGCTCTCCTGAAGCCACAAAAGCTGTTACAGCAGACTCTTGATCTGCAGCTGCACACCAATGGAAACAATGAAAGGCCATCATCATGTTCTTGACCAGGGTGGGAGGATGCACATGTGTAATCTGTATGTGTGTGCACACGTGTGCCTCTTGCACCAAAATTCTTGTGTGTAGTAAAAGGCACACAAATGATACACTGATAGTCAAAAGCATTTCTTTCAAAGGGAAGCTTCAGTGTGGCAATCCCAAGTGAAGGAACACGAGCTAATACCCTGAACAGGTCCCTTGTTCAAACAATTACAAGGAAGGCCTATTTTTTACATGCAGGGAACCAATGTTTGGCTAAAGCCCCTGTGGATTTCTACAGTCTCTTTGGTGCTATCTACACCACTCACACAGTCCCAGAAATTCGAATTAGCAGCTCAGGGATACTTTGGTGTTGAAATCATTAGGTTTTGGGTTTTTGCAGGGTTAAAGCAGGACCTTTAAAATACATTCAGAAAACACAAGGGAGTATCTCACCAAGAAGTTAATGTAAATAACACAGTGAAAACCAAAGATGAACTCACTTTGGGTTTAGACTTTGTCTCTTCATTCTCATCATCTTCTCCTTCTGCTGGCTCTTTGTTCAATGCAGAGTAATCTTCCAGGAGGGTGTCGAAGAGTACTATCCGCTTATTCTTGAAGAATCCATAGAAATAAGCATTGCTATGAGAGGAACGCTTAGAACCTGATGGGGAAAATTTACATTAAAGACCATGATCTGAATAATCCCATGCACTGAAGACTATGCAATATTACATAGAACAGATTGTTCCAAAGGAATTCTCAAAGTCCCCAAATGAACAGCAGACAAACTCAAGCAAATGAGTTCGTTTTAAAATATGCTTCAAACTACAATCTAAGTAATGATAACCTCATTTACTGACTCCAATAGAGAAATAATTTTTTTCATCTGTAACATGTAATCAGTAAAATCACTATAAACATAACAGCAGCATTGTGAAGATCTAATATCCAGAAGAAAAGCAATTTCTATTGCAATTTCAGGTTCAGAGTGCATAGAACACGTGCGGCCCTCCCGGCAAAGGACCTGTGACAAATACATTTAGAATTCTTTCAATGTGCCAGCAAAGATGATTTGAAACAGATAAGGATGACAATGTTAGAAACAAATAAGGAGAAGATGAAGAGATGAACTACAGATTATCAGGCAGTCCCTCAAAATCATGCACTATTTCTACTGTCAATATACCTGGGGACAAGAAACTCATCTCTTTCCATGGAACATGGCCTGTTCCAGTTGATTAAAAAGCTGTCTAGATCAAAGCGGCTGTTAAAACTTTGCCTATTTTCGCCTGTGGACAGGAGCTGTTGCAACATCAGGACCGAAAGAGGTCTCTATGGAAGAAGAGGTGGATTGCTCTGTGTTTTGCAGCAAAGGATAAGATACTTCAGGTTGAATGCATTTGCCTTCACCTCTCACTATAAACGTATGAGCTGCATAAACTCCTTAGGGCATAAAATATCCACTCTTCCATTGCAAGCCAACCCATGGTATGGCCATGGTAACCTTCAGCACCAAACCAAGACAGATCAACAGAGGAACAGACTGGTCAGAGTATGAGGCCTCAACTTCCAGTCCCTTCTCAGTGAAAAAACCTGAACAGCCACAGGGTAGCAATGTTCCCTTTCATCTGTGTATCATGAAAAACTTCATCCTCCACTAAATGTTGGTAGAGGAGGAACCTTTGTAATCTGCCTGTTACAGAATGAACCCTGAAATTAAAGGACGTGGTTGCACATGTTACTAAGAAGTCAGTTCTGGAGCGGCAAAAGCCAAGACAGTGCAGAAAAACACCGGCAAAAAGATGTTCACACATCCACTCCCCCATGTCAGAAGGGAATGGTGTTGGCTCAACACTCTTAAGGATGCCAGGAAAGAAAGCGGGGATTTGGCAGCCTCCCTCCACTGCAGATGACTGCCACTAAATGCAGACATGCTGAAGAAGCCAGTGCAGTAGTACACTATCAGAGTACCAACAACTGGCAAACAGGACTTTTACCATGGTTAAAAGCTAGGACAGAGCCAGCAATGCATACAGGAAAAATTCATGTATTTGGCAAGCCTCTGTACTGACTCTCACACTTGAAAAGCTTCAACATAGCTAGGAAAAAGAGAAGTTTCTTGGGCCTCAAGTGTATCAACAGTAGTAGTTCCTAGCTGCACCGAGGTAGAGCACTGGCTGGATTTGGCCAGCCCAAAGTTTTCAAAGTCAGAGCTTCCAGGCTACATAAAACCTTCATCACCCTTTCTTACAGCAAAATTCTACCATTTCAGCTCTATATGCTATCTCATGCTGCTTTCACCAAGGCAATAAAAAGACCTCTGATCCTCACAGGTGGGAAACAAAACCAAAACAAAATTTGGGAAGTCCCTGAAATCAAGTTCAGAAGGGAGTAAAATAAGTAACAGTGGAAATGTCAAACAGTAAAGTGCTCCATGAACACAGAAGTGGAGAGGAAGTAACATGGCAGCTGGCATGCTCCATGTTATGTCCTTTTTTCTTAGGTCATGGAATAAGAAATTCATTACCAGAAACTGAAAAAACGACAGTCTCAAGTAGAAGGTGTCCAACCACACCATAAGAAACCATCCATATGAACACTCGAAGAAGGAATAGGTGTTTTTAGCTTTCATAACTTTTTCAACTGTTTCAGCAAGGACTTTGAGACAATCAATGCTAAACTGAGACTAGAAAAGATTTAAAAAAACCAAACAAAAAACTTTTCCCTCTGGTTTAAAGTTCTAAAATTGGAATCTGGATTGCTGCTTCCATTTCTGACTGTGCTATGTATTTCCATTCCACAAAGCCAACACAATGCTTCCAACTACATGCTGAGTTAAGGCTGACATCGAGCTTCACTTTTCTGACCTCAAGGCAAAAAAAAGTAAAATGATATGGACATTGACACGTATTACAATACCTAAGGAATATAAGCAACTGCCCTACTGCAGCATCCACAGTCAAAGCTAAAAATCCACAAATTCAAAATTACAAAGTCTTTTTATTAAAAAAAAAATAAAATCTCACCTTCAACAACATACACCTTAGTCAGTGGGAAGTCAATGCTCTTTGCCATTGTTTCAATTTGTTGCTTGAGCTCTCCCTCAGGAAGTGGAATGAATTTATCAAACAAAGGTGCAATATAGTCTGCATAGATTGTAACAAGCACCTGCAAACACATATAGATATTAAAAACAAGACATACAAATGTGTGTCTAGTACTAAAGGTGGAGCATGAGTAAGTACAAAAAGAGGGCATAATTTCAGAAAAAAACTTGATAAAGCAGAATCCTGTATGAAGTGTGATCTATAGCGAGGCTCTCTATGGGTCATCCCACCTACTAAGACAACTGCTCGTCTGTTGACAGTCAGCAATTCAACAGCATGATAAGAGTGAGGGCAGGTTAATCTACAGTCTACAGCCCTCAGCAGAATTAATGTAAACAGTGCTTTTGCTCTGAGGGTTCATCAAACAGCAGAAGGCAAAGCCACTATGACAGCTGGAAGCAGTGGTCTTATCAGTGAGAGCCTGACACCCACTCTACCGATACTGGAAAGCTCTGAAGTGTTTCATAATGAGCAGCAAAGTTGACTGAACCAGGAGATAGTCCCGTTTCTTCAAATTTCTGCTGACTTGCAAAGCCACGGTCTAAAACAGGCAAGAAATTTAATGTCCTCTATTTTCTTCCCCTTTTCCCAGTTGTATGCAGGGCTAAAGAACTGCCTGATGCCTCTAGGCCACAACGATTAACAGCCATGTCCCAAAAATCACTACAATGCACCTGCATCTCTTCGACCTGGCAGCAGTCACAGCCCAGATGAGAAAGCCAGGATTGGAGTAACACTGTGATGGGAAGGAAAGCTGAACTCCCTTCCCTCACAGTCTGGACCTCCACGAAGTGATTTCTGTTTATTTATTTTAAAAGAAAAGGACTGGAGAAAAGTTTAAATTCTGGTTTGCAAAAAAGGAACAGGACATGAGAGGCAAATGGACATCAACATTAACTTTGAAGTTATCTTGACGCGTTTTTTTCCCACTGAAAACAAGTACCTTGACTTTTGAAAGTATCTGCACTGTTGAAAAAGTCCAATGAAATCTAAAACTAGGGACAATTACTTTTCCAAAGTCAGAGCAAGTGAGGACATCAGTATGAAACACCACTAGAAAATAAAAGTTATTTTTGTTACTGTAACTGTTAAGACAAGGGTTTAAACCTCTGCGGATATTTTGCAGCAAGTGTAGGAGGGTTATTTTATAGAGCAGAAATCAGCTGTCTGTTTCAGTCCAGACAAATGTGTCAGCCTATGTAGTATGTGTGAACTAATCTTAAGTTTTTATCTCTGATCTTTGTGTAATCCCTTGGTATCAGCAGGCATAACAGACTGGTATGCAACTCCAACTATGATTACAGAGTTATGGAATGTGATTACAACTGGAAATTCTCCCTAAAGGGTAAATCTGACACCTCTTAAGGTTATTTTGCATGTTGTCCTGGTTTGGCCAGCCCAGCCTTAAATGGTGACACATGTCAAAGACTGTTCAAACCCACGCTTAAGGCCTCAAACCATGACCAATACCCCATAAAGCTGCAGGGACATTGCAAGACACCTGAAAAGCACCAACTGTCTGTGCAGGTACTTAATCCCCAGGAAAAAAAACAAACCAAACCAAACCACAAAAAAAACCCCACCAAACCCACAGGGGTGGGGTGGGGGAGTAAGCCACTCGGTCTTTTGGTCTTGCCACATAATCTTTCAGTACAGAAGTCTGTAGCTCTGACACCACACGTTTTATTTTCTAGCTTTTGTTGTGTAAAAGATAGCCCAACCCCTGTTTTATCAGTTTCTAAAGTATCTGTAAGATCTCAGGAAAAAAAAAAAAATCTACATGGACAGCTCAATTGCAAGGGGCAGGCAAAGCAAAAATAAAATACTAGTTTGTGATAGGAAAGTGACAGAGAAAGAAACGTGTTATCAGCTGAGTATGTTCTGCTTCTCACCTTGATATTTAGTGTTAGGTACTACTCACCTACATCTCTTCTTTCTACAAAAACTTGCTTGATAAAGACTATAAAATGGACATTCAGAATATGATCTCATACAACATTTTTTACTATATTTTAAAGAAAATATGGCAAGAATAAAAGCAGTCAATGACCAGTATAAAGGAAGCTAAGGAAAAAAAAATTTCACTTTCGGTGTATAAATGAGGACAGGCCATTTCAGAAAATCCTGTATCTTCTTTCAATCCTGAAAGTACCAGCTCTCTTAAAATTTCAGCTTAACCCTTCTATGAAAAAGTAAGTCTTTGAAGCCTTTAGGACTGAAGACCTAAAATATGAACTGGGTATCACATGAGGAACTAATATCTCTCTAATTTTGCAAATAATAAGGCTACACTAGAATAATCTGTAAGTATGGACTGTTTCACTCAGGGTGATAGAGCAGTACCTCAAATGTTGAATTATGATATAATAGTATACTGCTGATCAAAGCTGGAAAGAAAAAGAACAATTCTTTAAGAAGTACTGATCAAAGTCTGCACAAATCTTTCTGTAACAGTCATTTCAATACACGTGAACTGATATTTTTGAGATCTAACACAGATTTTTCAGAATACATTCAGAGACAAAGTCAGACTGTAAGGACACCTGGACAGGTGCAGGAGCCAGCACAACAAAACAGAAAACCCTGTATAATTAAGCCAACAAACAAAAAAAAAGCTTGAAAAAAATGAAAGTAGGAATTGTAAGCTAGACTTACCACCTAAGTGGGGCACTTCTGCTACTACGCTATTCTCATCGAGTTCCTCAGAAACACTTCACTTATAACTGCACTATGCCAGAATTAGTAGCCATACTAATAATCCACTAATCCACACACATTTTACTTCAGTTACATGTTAGGCATCAATGAAGCAAAAATACAAATAAGCAACAAATATAATTCAGATAATGAGATCTGTATCCCATAAAAACAGATTATGAAAAGACTTCGCAGTCATGATTTAAACTAAGCCACAATTCCTTCTATGTTGCCATGTCTGAGAAAGTCAGTGTGACTACTGGATATGTAAGTGGGAAATCAGATCTTCCTGCATTAATTGCAGTGGCCTCCCATACAGCATTATGATCACATTTTTGTACTAATGTGGCCAGTCAATGCCTGTGCTTTAGAAAGGAAGTTGACAAACTGAAAGTCTAAGAAAGCTATAAAAGTGATCTGAATTTAAAAGCAGTGGGGAGAAGGAAAAGGAAAAAAAAATAAAAAGCAACACTTACTTAAGTCATGAAAGAGAAGCCTGAGAAAAAAAAGCAATCACGATTTCCTACCCAGGTATTCCTAAAAATTTTCTTGATGATGCATGGCAGTTCAACCAGAAAGCCTGAACTTCACATGAGAATTAAGGGACTGATTGACCCAAATTTATTGTTAGGCTGACGTGGCAGACTTCATTATGTTACTGTAACAGAATAATTCTTTTACTTGTTAAGGTGCTCTTTTAATCTACAAATGAATGAATATATACAACAGTACTTCTGTAATTTCTTCCTTGGGTGAGCATGGTTAGTATATTGAGCAAAAAGATAGTAGAGCACTATGTTGAAATAGAAAAAAAAAAATAAATACAGACTTCAAAGCTTATAGTAAAAATATAAAACATCAAATCCTTATGATGTATACAAAAAGACCCTTTTAATGTAAGCCCTAAAAATGTCAGTTACCAATTCAGTGTACAAAAGCAGCTATATAAGCAGAACCAGAAACGGAAAATTGCTACTTGTCTCAATACACAGCAATGCAACTGAGAATTGGTGTTTGATAACCTGTAAGAAAAGCCCAATGGAAACATTACTGACCAAAGCACATTCTGCCTTGTCTTGCCAAACTGCTGGCAGTTGTCCTTGTGCCCTTTCTATATTTAAGAAAAAGGAAAACCTATCACCACATAGTGCTGCGTTTCCAGTATCTATTGAAAGCTTTTGGAATGTTTATTTTTCAACTGATGAAGACACTCCAGTATTAAATAGATAAAATATAACACATTCATGTGGACTACTAATATGAGCTATTATTCCTGAACAAGTACACTGAGAGCAAGACACACTGTTAAAGGTTGCAGACACTAAAATTCCCAGGAGATTTAGATTTTTCTCCATTTCCTTTCAGTTACGCTTTTAAACTTCAGCACACTGAGCCATGCAAGTAAGTACTTGCATGAGCAAGTAAGCTAGCATTTGGAAGAAACCCAAACATATTCTCATACTCACCAAGGAAACAACTAATGTGAAGAGCCAGGCATAGATGAAGAAGTAGTCTCCCCCTATTTTAATAATGTAAAGCAGAAGGGATGTCACTGGCAACAGAATACACTGAGTCACAATAAACTTCTTGATAGCATCCTTAAAAAAAAATCCCAGCGTCTGTAAAGAAAGGATATCAGTGATATTTTCAATGTAAATACCGATGTGCCACAGTGGTTAATGAACTGATCCCTTCCATGGATGCACAGAAACAAAGTAAGACAAATCGCAGAACAGCAACACCAATGTGATAAGGAAATTGGAATCAGTTAAGAAAAGCTGGAAGAACCTTTTCACCTCCTCTCCTGGTAGCTGTGGCTCTTTACATCCACACGGACTGCAAGCCCACGCAGATGCGCTCTTTCTTAGTAAGATCTAACCCAAACCCTTATTTTGTGTTGCACATATATACTTCCTTAAAGGAGGAAAGAAAAATTTAAGCTTACCTGTCTCTTAATTCCTTTACCAATCTATATCCTAGACTTTATGGGATTTTTAGAAAATAGGAAACTCATAGCTACTCTAAACTATTTTGTCTTTGAATAGTTGCCACCATTCATCTTAACTTTCAGTTATGACTAAGCTGATTGTCTTAACTGGAAATATATAGAAGTCCTATTAAAGATTTTTAGATATATATTGGGCATTTTAGTTCACGCTTCCACTGACAGGCAGTTACTACCCAGGTAGCTGTCTCAGGTTGTAAAATTAGCATAACTTTAATAGAAGGAATAGAAATTTCAAAGATGTCTACCTGAATGAATCTGATCTAGTGACTCTGCAACATGATTAGATACCCAACTAGCTCTTTCAGGAATTGTTACTTCAGTACTTAGAGCTATCTGCAAGGCACAGAAGTGAGGGGGTTATTATGTAAAGATCCTTACCCACAACGTTGTATTAAAGAGTCCATACTATATTAAAGATATGAAACTCATCTGGAAAGAAAAAAATACTGGTGAAACAGATTTAAGTAAAAACTAAGGATTTGGGGCAAAAATTTGGATAGACGCCTCAGACTTCCATGACTATTACAAACACAAATCAGACCTAAATCCACAATTTTAGACTATTCTTTATGTAGACATATTCACTCTGGTCACATATTCTTCCTAAGTGACCATTAGTATCAGCAGTAATACAATTGTACAGACATATGCCCACACAAATGGAGCACTCCAGCAGATACTGTTCCTTGCCTGCCTTTAATATTCCCAGGTAGTGTGGGCTATCTTTTCCAGCTAGAAAAGCAAGATTTGTGGCTCTCATTCACACTAAGGAGTGCTCCTTTCCTGAAAATGGTATGGAGAAGCACGAAAGAAAGTGTGTGTGTCATCCTGGACAAAGGAAAAATTGTTTCTGTTTGATCAAAACTCTTAAACAGGTACAAGCCAGGAAAGAGAAAACAAAATACACAACAGTGTGTTCCTCCTTTATTACTTCCTCAGCTCAGCCAGAAAAAAAGCCTGTTCTACAGCTTTATCATTTTTTAGCTTAGTAAAAAGCTGAAGAAACAGTCACTTAAAATAACCTAGAAGAACTCTTAATGGAAGCGTGCTGCCAGCGCTGGGCCTTCTGGAACATGTCAACTACAAGCCATTTAGCTCAAGTTTTCATTTTAACTCTTTCTTTACTTCCAGCTCCACAATCTGAGGAGTAGAGCTGTAAAACTGCATGGTGTCTTTCATCTTTGCCCTGCCTCTTTCCTGCTTTCTAAGGCAGATGTGGATTCCAGAGAAATCCTAATTTTCAGCAAGCCAATCCCATGGAAGAAAGAGTCTATCTGAAGATCACTTGAGAATCATTACTAGAAATTCCAAAGTCTGGGCTGGTACCAGATGTGAATTTGGCTCAGTCACTAAAGGACCTAGCCCATCAGTCTGAAATGAAAGATGGAGATTTGACTGTGTTTGTAAGACATTTGGTACCTCAAATTGGATTGGAGCTGGACTCAGCCTTCAGTTCTTGGCATGAGGACCACTGTGGTGAAAAAAACCTTGTAAAAGACATTATGCAGGTAGCTCAGTCAAGCATTTAACAACACCCACAGGTGTCAGTGCCAAGTCTTCCTTTTCTCATTTGATTAGGCACAATGCTTGCACTGACAATGGTGAAGCACTCAGACAGCACAGCTCCGAGAAGAAAATGTTCAGAGGATATACCCAGAATCCTCCTTACCCTCCCTAAAGCATACAGCAAAACTACATGGATTCTGCGAGACAGTTTTAATGAAGCCCAAGCTGCTAAGTTCAGTATTTGACCTTTGCTTTTTCTGCACAGAGGCAGAGCCTGATCAAGTCAAGCTCTCCATCCAACAGCTAGTGTGCCAGTTTGCTCTAATTCTCGTGCTTTACAAGTCCCAGTACAAGTACTGACAGTCTTCAGACTTTTGTGTCCTGGGCATAAAGGGCTTGCAGATCTGGCACCAAGATGGAACTTACTCCTCACTAAGGTAGGAAGGACAATCAAGGTGCAGGCCTGATGCAACTACTCAGGCCTGACATGAGAGACAGAGAAAGATGGCTTTTGATGCGTATTAAAGGATGCTGAAAGTCAAAGGGATGTGTAGGCTAGGTCAGGGCATAAGCATATTGCAAGAATTAGGACTTTGTCAGCCGTTACAGTTTTTGAGGACTACAGAAGTGATAGCCAGAGAACAAACAAAATAAATCAAATAGGTATTTCCCTGAAGAAAAGATTACTTGACTCATGCTCTGGAAACATGGGAACATTCCTTCCTCCCTTGATAGGTGCAGGATGAGGAACAGCTGAGGTATGAAATGTTCTTTGTTCCTCTCCTAGAATACACACTTCTCTCTGCTCAGAGGTATGGGCTCACGCAGAGACATTCTGGTGTGGCATGGGTACTTCTGCAAGTCACAAACTGTCACTGCTCTTATTTTTATGCAGTGCAACTAGAAATGTTCCCCAAACTAATGATCTTTGGCACAGCTGTGGACATACCAGTCCAACTAACCAACCAAACCTACTGAAGACGTTAGGTCAGCATAAGTATCTACAATACCTGTTGATTGAAGCCATGTTTCTCTTCTATGACAAACGTGTTATATAAACTCCATGGGAGACCGGTCACTGCACTGAAGAATGTTGCAAGCAGCAGAAATACCAATGACTGAACAATCTAGAAAAACAGTAACATAAAAAAAATTTGATATTTACTGACCTGTACTAACATTAATATTCCAGGTGTTAAAAAATTGATTTTATGTCAGTGGTTTAACTGAAACTGGTTAGAAGATGAAGCTAGATAAATTCACAGAAATAACATGTTTGTGATGATTAGATCACTGATGACTGGAATAGCTACTGTGTTAAAGAAAGAAAAAAATAAACTGGTGAAACAGATTTAAATAAAAACTAAGGATTTGGGATGAGAATTTGGATAGATGCCTCATCCACAGCACAAAGACAGCATAAGCAGTAGCCTCAAATTTCTTACCCTTTTACTGTGCAGGAAGATCACATCTAGGTTTAGTAAAAAGACAACACCCAAACAAAAAGCCTCCCATAAACTCAACCCACCACCTCATTTGATTCAAGTAGCTTTGAGACTTGTATGTTTTTCACATACAAGGCTATTTTAATTAGTAAGCTAATTTAAAAGTCACATACCGTTATCAGTTCTCACACTCACCTAATCATTGTGTTCACCAGAAAATATCTGTTATTTCTACTATATTCTACCTGTAGCTAAATCCCACTTTAAGTAAATGCAAGCTTAAAAATAAAATTTATTGTAACAGTACAGTTCATGGACCAAACATTTTCACTAACATTTAAAGACTGCTTACCTCATATTCTGGACCAAACCCAGCACGACCAGAGATCTGACCAGACAGATTCCAGAGAAAAGGAATTCCTCCACAGAGAAGAATAATCTTGAACACAAAACCATATACCACAGAAGCAATATCAAACAGACTGTCATCTTATTCTACTAAAATTTCAGCATGATAAGGACCTTCTAAGGGTGAATGAGAAAAGTTTTATAATTAGGCTTTTTGTCCCCATCTGATCTTAGCAGTGCATAAAGAAAGCCTGGAATATTTGGCAACGGTTCGTTTTTACTTTGCAGAAGTAGTGATCAGGTCAAGCTTCCCCCCCCAGGAAATACTAGCGTATTTTCAAGCCTATTTACTGTAGACTTTGCTGCTATAGTGGCTCAGACATACGGTATATTTTTCAGAGGACCTTAAACCTCATTTGCCCTATGGCTGTATAACGTACCATCTCTAGGAGGAGTATGCAAGATTCAGCAACTTGACTGCACTGGGACAGTCTCTCCTGCATTCCCTACCGAGAAAAAGGCATTCAGCATTCAGAATAAAGCCGTAATTTCACTTTCAGTATTAGTGGTGCTTCAACCATTTTCGAAAGCTTCATGCTCTCCTCCTTGTGCCTGCCTAGCAATGCCTCCTGCCATACAGGTTGCCAAGGAACAGGGAGTGGACTACTCAGGACACACCATAATCAAAGAAATGCTTGAAACAGAGCTACTGAAGCAAGTGCTAACTGCAGTTCAAGGCAGGGGCTGATAGTGCTTGTTAAGCAGCTTGACTTCCAAATGTTTCACATTTACTTTCTTAGCAATTGATGCATCACTATGTATATAAAAATCAGTTTTCATGTAGGCAGCCTCCAGCAAGGACAGTAGCACGTTTTTATTTACTTATTTCTTTTTAAAAGGCTTACTCTTAAAACCTAGCTATTAGGGTGCATTTTGAGTGTCAGTAGGAGATAGAAAGGACCAAAGCAAGCTTGTTTCTCCTTTGCCAGCTACCTCTAAGTTTCAGAGCTGGAAAATCCCAGAAATATCAATCCCTGAACAAAGACAGCTATTAGCATGATGTTGATACTACTTATTAGTTAAAAAGAAATCCACATAATTAATGGCTGAAATTAATCAAAGAATACTAGTAATTCTAACACAGCATCTCTGGTTCAATTAACTTGCTAGGTTAAGGAATCTACTTCTACCTACTAAAAGCAAAATGCTGCAAAATTATCATCCAATTTCATCAACTTTGGCCATGACAGCCTCTTTCAAGTTCAGGCAGTTGCCAAAGCCAATAAAGGATGCAGTTTACACTCTAAGAAAGTGGCAAACCCAGACAGTAGAGGCCACCTCACTTTAGCTTTGCTGGAATCTGGTAATCCCAGGACAAATTCTGAGAAACAGAAAGACACGGCTCAACATCACAGAAAGGAGCAAGAACTCATCATCACATACATGCAGAGAAGCAGCTGCATGTACCCTACACATCATGGGTATCAGCTTGATTGTAGAATAGAATCATTTAGGTTGGAAAAGACCCTTATGATCATTGAATTCAACCGTTAACCTAACACTGCCAAGCCCACCACTAAACCATGTCCCAGGCACCATGTCTACACGTCTTTTAAATCCCTCCAGCAATGATGACTCAACCACTTCCCTGAGCAGCCTATTCCAATGCCTGATAACTCTTTTGGTGAGGAAATTTTTCCTAATATCCAATCTAAACCTCCCTAGTGCAACTTAGGGCCATTTCCTCTCATCCTATCACTTGTTACTTGGGAGAAGAAACCAACCCCCACCTCGCTACAACCTCCTTTCAGGTAGTTGCAGAGAGCATTAAGGTCTTCCCTCAGCCTCCTCTTCTCCAGGCTAAACAACCCCAGTTCCCTCAGCCGCTCCCCATCAGACTTGTGCTCCAGACCCTTCACCACCTTCGTTGCCCTTCTCTGGACTC